AGAGTGGGGTTCTCCCTAAACGCAACACCAGGTCCTTTAAGCCTGGTAGGACTTTTAAGGGGAACCCCACCACCCAAAAATGGGGGGGAGTGCATGGTGTCCCCCCTGAAAGCAATACCCGACCCTTGATCCAAGCACAGGCCTGGCAGGGTAGGAAAAAGCAGGACAATTGAGAGAACAACGGTTTACCCATGCCAATTGTGATAAGGTCCTTTTTTCTGCCCCCCCCAGGCCAGGGTTGTGGAGGTCTGCAGGCAGGGGGGCTCTTTAGCATCAGGGTACCCCTTTAAATAAGGCGGCATCCTGATGTTGCCCCTCTTTGTGAATGAGTAAAGGGTAGGGTACCCCTACCCATTCACTAAAGGGTTACATTTATAAAAAATAGAGACTTTTGAAAAATTCCATTAATTGAACAAAAAAACAAAACAGTTTTTGACAAGTCCTTTAATTAAAAAAAGTATTTTTGTTAAATATCAGTCCTGCTGCAGCAGGTTCTATAGATTGTACAGATAGTTTAAGGAGAGACCCCCCCCCCCTCCAGGCATGATGTTTAAAGGAATGTTTTTCTTTTTTTTTTACTTTAAGTAATGAGAAATGACTGCCAATTTAAAAACTGTGCTTTAAAAAACAAAAATCACAGATTCATGTCCCTCAGGGCAGTACCCGAATCCCCATACCCTTTTATGGCCAATAACTTCCATATAAGACTTCAAAATGGCCACTTTGGAATTCTCAAGTTCGAGTCTCATAGACTTGCATTGAGTTTGTAGTTTGCGGTCCAATGTTCATCAGGTTCGAACTGTGTTCGGCCCATCACTAGTGGAAATGGTAACTTATAAAGTCTACCAAAGGTACCATTTACATTTGATAAATATCTTGCTAACTTTGTGTAACATAATAAATTGCAACTACCAACATTTTACTCACTGGGGTCTTTGTTTTCAGAAAGTATTTGAGGGCATTTAACTAATCTTCAGGCCTAAAAAATGCATTTTAACATATGAAAAAAATGGCTCTGGTAGTGAATTTGTTAATAAATTGTCAGTCATGAATCCCTGAGTGAACATCTATTTGCTATTTGACAACTAGGAGCATGCAAGTTCCTAGCTGCCAGACATCACTGTCTCTGACAGTTCTGATTTCAACAATCAGGAACCAATGGACATGCTTCCCAGTCATATGATCATACGACATGACAACTATGACATGGTTATCATATGATAAGCAAAAAAACTATTCTGGCTTTAGTTGTCAAACTATTTATACTCACTGCGCAGACAGAAAAAACACACACACAAACACACACACACATATAGTGTTAATACGTTAATAATATATAAAACAATACATAATATATACAGAACTCCTGAATATTTAAAATGTACTTTTACTAAAGCTGAATACATTCCAAGTGCGTCAAAAGAAAAGGTATCCGTCCATTTTCTTAAGCAAGCAGCCAAGCCTTAATAGAAAAGCCTATGGCTTACCAGTATGATCAAGAAGTAGTCCCCTGATATGCAGGGGCAAGGGTCTTTTTTAGTGGTCAGAAACACTCACTGCTGAGTTAGACCTATAACTCATAAATTCAGCAAGCTCACGCTCCCTCCTGGGCCCCATTGCACTACATTAGAATTTATAGGGTTTTGTACATTGAGGTAAGCTGCATCAGACTTTTTTAGGCAGGCCATCATAAAGCTGGTTCATTCAGAATCTCATATACTTCTGCATGGAAACCAATCAGCTTCCAGGTTTTATTGCTAATGCTTAATTGAACAAGCTAAAGTTAGAAGCTGATTGGCTACCATGCACAGCTTAACCAGGTTTAGTAAATCTCCCCCAGTGTGGTTTTGTACGTAGCAGCACAGAAGAGATGGAGTGCCATTCAAAGTTAACGGCACTGTAAACACATCAACACATTACTGCAATGGGTGGTGTGAATGGTCCCTGAATGCACAACCCCACCTCTGACTCAGCACTGTACCTCAGGACCTCTGTATATAGACCACTGTGTCCATACAGGATAAGGGTCCTTCATTACAGCATGCTGGTAGGGACAGTCTATCCTACTAAGGTTGTGGCTGCCTTCTAAAGAAAATCAACTTAAAGAATTTTAACACCTTTTTTCTTTTTATGTGACTGAAATGTATTTAGCTGATTTAAACTAGAAGTTTAACTGGGATTGCAAATGCATGTCTTGGATTTTCCTACTGGTAGTTATCTGTTTGTGTTTGATGCACACATGAATAATGAAGGTTACAGAATGGCTTCCTGCTATCCCCCAACAATTATTTCTGCAACCTCCTATTCTACCTGTAAACAAAGACAGAGCACAGTAATAAATGACAGTTTATGGTAGACGAGCATAAAAGATTTATTAGCCTCATACAACAATGCTGAAGAACAACCATACATGTAAAAATAAAAACAACACTTCACAGAAGCATAACTTTTTTGAAACAATCTCTGCAAACTTGAAAGAACACAACATTCATTTCCTTTCAGTAGGAACTTTCAGCACTGTACTTAAGGAAATGAAATTTAAATCCTGGAGTTGGGTTGAGTATCCACTTGATTAATAGTGCGACTAGAGCCCCCAATGTGAAGACATGGACAATTTTGCTCCTCAACCTTTAGTCTTTGATAGTGATTTTTACTAAAGAGCAGACTTAGTAGCGACTGAATGAAACCTGAAGATCACATTGATTTTCTTAAATCAAAATGAAAAAATGAAAATGTGGGATTCATGGGTTAATTTTTTAGAAGTATGTCAGGATTCAAAGAAGTAAGGGATCCAAATGAATGTTTAACCAATTCACAGACAGCAGAAACATTTTACAAAATCCCACAATCAACACTACATCGCTGAGGTCACTGGAGGTGAGGTGACCATCAATACCAGGATGAGATTGGAGAGAGGTGGGGTACTGTAAGGTTGATAAGATGATATCAAAGTGATAAACGTGTGCAAGTTCTTTGAAGCTATGGGAATATGAAGCTGTATGTGTGGTCTGCAGGTTCATATCTGTTGTCAGTATTAAATAATAATGGATCCGTGGGTGGATCACATTGTGCGAGTTGTGTGGGCAAATAACCTTGGGAGACAGATATTTGATTATTCTTTCATGTCTAATTATGAGCATGAGTGGTAAATGTGATGTTCCTGGAAAATACAATTTTGCATCCTTCTATTATGTACTGTACTTGTGATACTTCATCAAAACAGAGAGAAAATAAGACAAACACATATACAAAAAATGCAAAAACACAAAATTAAACAGTTTTTCATTAATTCTTTTTTGTTACTAAAATGTATGTATGTTGTTTTGCTCTATACATTTGTTCAGATAGAATATTTAAAAAAATATGCTTAAGGTTATGACTTCTGTTGTCTTCTGTAATATTTTAAGCTTGCATCCCTGTATATCTTCTGTAATGAAAATAACAATAAAATCTTGGATATTTTAGATTATATAAAAAATAGACACCTAGACTCACATAATTTATAGAGTGAGCTTGCTCAGCTTTATGTGTTTTCTCTACTGTAACATTTGGTAGTTTGCTGCAGTATCATAAATTTGCAGCACTGTTAACATTTGGTTTTCAAATAATTTGCAAACTGCACACAGGAGCACACAGTTTCCTTTGTCACCAGTTTAAAAAATGTGGCACTGCCTGCAGATATTTATTTGAATTATTTTCACTTCACTATCAGTTTTTTTAATAATGATCTTTTAATAAGCTAGCAAAACATAAATTAGAGACTTACAGCACTTAATGTGAGATATTTAATTCTAAAATCGCATTATCACTTGAGGTAGAGTTGTAAATTAACTCTTAGCTTGAAGCTTAATGCAAGAGGGAATTTCTTGTGGTTACAAATCAGAAAAATCACATGCAGCAAATAAGCCATATGCTTCAACATATATTGCAAATGTGCAGCCACTGAGGAAATCCTATTCTTCCCTACTGTGCAAGTTTGCAGTTATCATCAATTTTATAACATTATCAATAATATAATAATAGCATTATTTACTGCTATTAAACTATTCTACATCAAGATTTCAGAAATATTATAATGATATGTTATGCTAATAAAATAGTGTATTCAGTACCATTGATGTATGTTTATTTTGTATATATATATATATATATATATATATACACACAGTACTGTGCAAACCTTTTAGTCAGGCATGAAAAAAATACTGTAAATTAACTGCTACCTGTCCTATTGAAAAATGACAGCTGGGCAGGACATTGACTGTTCTGGGTGGACATCATGGGGTTTATTTACTAAAGCTGGAGAGTCCAAAATCAGACTCCCTTCTGCATAGAAACCAATCAGCTTCCAGGTTTCATTGCCAAAGCTTCATTGAACAAGCTGAGGTTAGAAGCTGATTGGTTTCTATGCAGAAGGGAGTCTGATTTTAAACCCCCATATGACATCCTCCCCAGAATACACCATGCACAGGCCCCATATATGCAATCTGTCACCCGCTGTATCTACCGGACACAGCCGATGACAGATAACTGTATTGTGTTGCTGCTAGTACCATGTGATAGCTGTGACCAAACATGACTATTGTTCACAAAGGATGACTTTATTCACCATATAGTACAATGACGGGCGCAAGGTGGTTCTCTCGTTCTGATAGGACGTCATATGATGTCCTTCCATTCTCACCACGCATGCGCGGCTCAGGGAGCATGCAGCGCGGTGATCGCCAGTGCGCTGTGTCCCTCGGACTCAGCGGATCACGGATCATGGAAAGAGCCGAAGATGTCGGCTCGGTCATGTGATCAGCTGTGTCCAATCACAGCTGATCACATGTAGACAAGGAAATGCTGGTTATTGGCATTTCTCTCCTCTCGAGCTGTCAAGCTGACAGCTCGAGAGGTGAGGAGAGCCGGTAATCGGCTTTCCGCGGAGGGGACATGTACACTGATCATCAGGGCACTGATGATCAGTGTGCCCTGATGATCAGTGTGGCCCCAGAAGTGCCACCTATCAGTGTCCATCAGTGCCAGCAGTCAGTGCTCATCAGTGCCACGTGCCCATCAGTGCCGCATCAATGCCACATATCAGTGCATACCAGTGCACATCAACGCCACATATCAGTGCATACCAGTGCACATCAATGCCACATATCAGTGCCCATCTGAGCTGCCTTTCAATGTCACCCATCAGTGCCAGTCAGTGCTACCTATCAATGCCAATCAGTGCCACCTATCAGTGCTGCCAATCAGTGCCACCTATCAGTGCCCGCCAGTGCCGCCTAACAGTGCCAGTCAGTGCCGCCTAACAGTGCCAGTCAGTGCCGCCTAACAGTGCCATTCAGTGCTGACTGACAGTGCCAGTCAGTGCCGCCTAACAGTGCCAGTCAGTGTCACCTAACAGTGCCAGTCAGTGCTGCCTAACAGTGCCAGTCAGTGCCGCCTATCAGTGCCAGTTAGTGCTGCCTATCAGTACCACCTATCAGTGCCATATATCAGTGTCATGTATCAGTGCTGCCTTTCAGTGCCCATCAGTGATGCCTGTCAATGCCCATCAGTGCAACCTACCAGTGCCTCCTCATCAGTGCCCAACAGTGCCAGCTATCAGTGTCCATCAGTGCAGCCTATCAGTGCCCATCACTGCAGCCTCATTAGCACACATCAGTGAAGGAGAAAAATCACTTATTTACAAAATTGTATAACAAAAACTAAGAATTTTTTTTTTCAAAATTTTCAGTGGTTTTTGGTTTGTTTAAGAAAAAATAAAAATCCCAGAGGTGATTAAATACCACCAAAAGAAAGCTCTATCTGTCTCAAAAAATGATAAAAATTTCATAGGAAGGGCCCCCTGGAACTCTCTGGACATGCCAAGGTACTGTGTGCAGATATTGGGCAGCCTGTGGATTGTACATTGCCCATAATGACTACGTTCCCACCCTTGTCAGACTGATTGTAATATTATTTTCCTGCAGAACACGTAACACTATTTGTTCTGTTTGTGACAAATTACCATTTTTTATCCAATTATGGGAAACTTTTTTAACATCTCTTAGTGTTTGCTTGAGAAATATCGCAATATTCGGATAATTGTTCAAGGAAGGAAATTTAGAAGACAATTTTTTAAATTGGGTTATGGGGCTTTTCAGTCTCACCTAGTAGTAGGTCGAGATCTAATTGATCAATGAAATCACCAGATTGGCTTTCTTCCAACAGGAAGGTCAGGTCCCTAAGGGCTCAGAATTCCCTACTGGAGTACTGAGACCAATCAATTGACTATGTTCTGTTGTCTGATTTGGCTTGTACACACCTAAGAGAAAGTTTTCTGGTGAATAATTGGAGATCTTAAACCACTTCAAACTGGTGTGGGCAAAAAACTCAACACACAAGACAGCAGATTTTTTTTGGTTTGAGTTAGCATATATGAGGACAAAGTAACAATATTTAGTGTAGTAGTTAAGTTCGAATCAGGTGTTCTAGGCCCCGACCTGATCTCCCCCATCGCAGACCTCTCCCCAGTGTTTGACCTAAAAAAGCAGGAGGATGTGATTGATAAATTCCTGAGGAATTAAAACTAAGTACTAACTGTACTAGAAGGATCAGAAAAAGAAGATTCCAATTCGCCTACCACTTCACCTTCTAGAGGGTCGCGTAGTGAACCTCTGTGACTCACCTAATGTGTGATCATGGGGATGTGTTGAATTGATATCTAGTGAACATTTTTTAACCTCTTGTTCAAAGGAACCCTTACTATTGTGATTCTGTCAGGAATGGACTGGCCAGCAATGGTGGGACTCACCTGCCTTTTGATCTGCAGTACCAGGGCTGGCCAGCGGGTGCTCCCAGCAATCAGAGACTCAACCTTTCAGCCAGCTAACACCTGGAACTGATTATACTGGTGTATTTAAGGGATGGCCAGACCTGCAGACTCTGCCTTGGTGTTGTGTTTGTGCTGGGCCCTGTATCTGTCCTGCATCCTGTTTCTGTTCCTTTGCTGACCCTGCCTGATCTGAACCGCTGCTGACTTCTCTCCTGCTCTGATCCCGGCTCGCTCCTGACCATCCCTCTGCCTGACCCTCTGTACCACGCTGCTTGCTATCTGTTCTGATCCCTGGCTTGTGACCCTGACCATCCCTCTGCCTGACCCTCTGTACTACGCTGCTTGCTACCTGCTGAACCTGGCCTGTGACCCCGACCAATCTCCGCTTGCTCCCCCTGTACCTACCTGCCCTATTGATATTGACCCGGCCTGCCTGACGACGCTTGCTTGTATGTACTGTTATCTGTGGGTGGTTGGTTTGGTTTGTTTGCACTGTATTATGTTTTAGTATTGCACTGCGTTTATGTTTGTATTGTTAGTGTTAATAAATTATATTGTTTATCACATATCTGAAGTCTGCGTTTCCCTGCGTCAGTCACACACCTCTAGTCATACCCGGGAGCCCTGACATTACACCAAGGCCAATCCTGACCAGAAGTGGCTGCACAGGGAAGCCATCTTGGTTTGTTGATGGGAAGGATGGATCTGGATGAGGTTGTGTATTTATATCTGCTAGTGTTTGATGACAGGGAGTATGCGTATCAAACTCTGAAGGAGTATACCCGGGATGAACTGCTAGAATGTATACGGCTCGCTCATGTTCTAGTAGATCAGGGCACAGAGTTCTCTGAGGTGCAGCCTTTGATTGAGGTTTGTGCTGAGTTGGTTTCATCTGGTACCCCCGAATGCAGGGATGAATTTTTGCCACCATTTAGTGCCGACCAGTCCCTGGTGTGGTTATTAGAGGATGATGTGGATTACTTTCTGGAGCGTTATTCCACATGTTCACCACAGGTACTCAGAGATTGTATAAACGCAGTGCAGTCTTTGACCAGACAGGCTTTGTGTAAGCTCAGCTTTGTTCAACCCCTACTGCAGACATGGACAGACTTGTTGCACCCAGCCTCAGTCAGCTTACAAAAACCCAGTCCTGCTTCTAATCTATTTCCTCAAAACTCTATTCCTGCATTCCCAACAGCTCCTCCTGCCCTGCTATCTACCGCATGTCAGTACCCTGTTCCCACTCGCTGCACCTATCCTGCCTTTAACCCTGTAAAAAAGCCCTCTGTAGCAACCGCTCCCTCTTCTGTTCCATCCTCTAGTTCTTCTCTGTCTCCAGCTGCTCCATTCGTTTGCAGACCTGCGTTTACTTGCAGTGCTCCAGTAGTTAAAACCGGAAAAAAGCGAAAATTCTTTCCAACCAATACCATCCTGCCAGTATCCAAACCGGTGAACCTGCCTTCCGTGGTTCAGCCTGAATCCTCTACTCAGCCTGATGCCTGTACTCGGCCTGATGCCTCTACTCGGCCTGATGCCTCTACTCGGCCTGATGCCTGTACGCAGCCTGGTGCCTCTACTCAGCCTGGTGCCTCTACTCAGCCTGATGAACTGATCCAGCCTGTTGATCCTATTAGGCCAGTTGACTCGATACCCGCTGTTGATCCAGACGATCCGGTACCTGATCCAGTGCCCGCTGTCGTGCCAATTGACTCAGAGCCCGCTGTCGTACCTGGTGACTCGGTGCCCACTGCCTTGCCAGATGACGCGGTGCCCTCTGGCGAGCCAAATGACCTGATGCCTGGTGACCCAGTGCCCGCTGTCATACCTGGTGACCCGATGCCCGCTGTCAAGCCAGACGATCCAATGCCTGGTGACCCGGTGCCCGCTGTCGTGCCAATTGACTCAGAGCCCGCTGTCGTACCTGGGGACTTGGTGCCCACTGCCTTGCCAGATGACGCGGTGCCCGCTGGCGAGCCAAATGACCTGATGCCTGGTGACCCAGTGCCCGCTGTCATACCTGGTGACCCGATGCCCGCTGTCGAGCCAGACAATCCGGTACCTGATGACCCGGTGCCCGCTGTCGTGCCTGTTGACTCGGAGCCCACTGCCTTGCCAGATGACACGGTGCCCGCTGTGGAGCCAAATGACTTGATGCCTGGTGACCCGATGCCCGCTGTCCAGTCAGACGATCCAATGTCTGACCCAGTGCCCGCGGTCATACCAGTTGACTCGGAGCCCACTGCCTTGCCAGATGACGCGGTGCCCGCTGTCGAGCCAAATGACCTGATGCCTGGTGACCCAGTGCCCGCTGTCATACCTGGTGACCCGATGCCCGCTGTCCAGTCAGACGATCCAATGTCTGACCCAGTGCCCGCGGTCATACCAGTTGACTCGGAGCCCACTGCCTTGCCAGATGACGCGGTGCCCGCTGGCAAGCCAAATGACCTGATGCCTGGTGACCTAGTGCCCGCTGTCATGCCAGTTGACTCGGAGCCCACTGTCGTGCCTGGAGACTCGGTGCCCGCCGCTCCGCCTGAGGGCCCGAGACCTGTCGCTCCACCTGGGGGTCCGGCGCCTGCCGCTCCGCCTGAGGGCCCGAGACCTGTCGCTCCGCCTGGGGGTCCGGCGCCCGCTGCTCCGCGCCTGGGGGCCCGAGACCTGTCGCTCCGCCTGAGGGTCTGGCTCCCGCCGCTCTGCCTGGGGGCCCGGCGCCCGCCGCTCCGCCTGGGGGCCCGACGCCTGTCGCCCCGCCTGGGGGCCCGGTGCCTGTCGCCCCGCCTGGGGGCCCGGTGCCTGTCGCCCCGCCTGGGGGCCCGATGCCTGTCGCCCCTCCTGGGGGCCCAGCGCCCGCTGCTCTGCCTGGGGGCCCGATGCCTGTCGCCCCGCCTGGGGGCCCGATGCCTGTCGCCCTGCCTGGGGGCCCAATGCCTGTCGCCCCTCCTGGGGGCCCGGCGCCCCTCCTCCCGCCTGGGGGCCCGATGCCTGTCGCCCCGCCCGGGCCTGGCGCCCGCCGCTCCACCTGGGGGCCCGATGCCTGTCGCCCTGCCTGGGGGCCCGATGCCTGTCGCCCCTCCTGGGGGCCCGGTGCCCGCCACTCCGCCTGGGGGCCCGATGCCTGTCGCCCCGCCCGGGGGCTCGGCGCCCGCCGCTCCACCTGGGGGCCCGGCGCCCGCCGCTCTGCCTGGGGGCCTGACGCCTGTCGCTCCGCCTGGGGGCCCGGTGCCTGTCGCCCCGCTTGGGGGCCCAGTGCCTGTCGCCCCGCCTGGGGGCCCGATGCCTGTCGCCCCTCCTGGGGGCCCGGCGCCCGCCGCGCTCTGCCTGGGGGCCCGATGCCTGTCGCCCCGCCTGGGGGCCCGATGCCTGTCGCCCCTCCTGGGGGCCTGGCGCCCGCCGCTCCGCCTGGGGGCCCGATGCCTGTCGCCCCACCTGGGGGCCCGATGCCTGTCACCCCGCTTGGGGGCCCGATGTCTGTCGCCCCGCCTGGGGGCCCGGTGCCTGTCGCCCCGCCTGGGGGCCTGGTGCCTGCTGCTCCGCCTGGTGGCCCGGTGCCTGTTGCTCCGCCTGGTGGCTCGGTGCCTGCTGCTCCGCCTGGTGGCTCGGTGCCTGCTGCTCCGCCTGGCAATCCGATGTGCCTCTGCCCGGAGTCCAGCCCGATGTGCCTCTGCCCGGAGTCCTGCCCGATGTGCCTCTGCCCGGAGTCCAGCCCGATGTGCCTCTGCCCGATGTGCCTCTGCCCGATGTGCCTCTGCCCGGAGTCCAGCCCGATGTGCCTCTGCCCGGAGTCCAGCCCGATGTGCCTCTGCCCGGAGTCCAGCCCGATGTGCCTCTGCCCGATGTGCCTTTGCCCGGAGTCCTGCCCGATGTGCCTCTGCCCGGAGTCCAGCCCGATGTGCCTCTGCCCGGTGTGCCTCTGCCCGATGTGCCTCTGCCCGGAGTCCAGCCCGATGTGCCTCTGCCCGATGTGCCTCTGCCCGGTGTGCCGCTGCCCGGAGTCCTGCCCGGTGTACCAGTCTTTGATATCCCGCCAGTTACCATACCCGGGGCGGTGGAACATTTTGCCCAGCTAGGACTGTTTTAGAGCGTCCTGAGGCCGCTCCTTGAGGGGGGGGGTACTGTCAGGAATGGACTGGCCAGCAATGGTGGGACTCACCTGCCTTTTGATCTGCAGTACCAGGGCTGGCCAGCGGGTGCTCCCAGCAATCAGAGACTCAACCTTTCAGCCAGCTAACACCTGGAACTGATTATACTGGTGTATTTAAGGGATGGCCAGACCTGCAGACTCTGCCTTGGTGTTGTGTTTGTCCTGGGCCCTGTATCTGTCCTGCATCCTGTTTCTGTTCCTTTGCTGACCCTGCCTGATCTGAACCGCTGCTGACTTCTCCTGCTCTGATCCCGGCTCGCTCCTGACCATCCCTCTGCCTGACCCTCTGTACCACGCTGCTTGCTACCTGTTCTGATCCCTGGCTTGTGACCCTGACCATCCCTCTGCCTGACCCTCTGTACCACGCTGCTTGCTATCTGTTCTGATGTTATCTGTGGGTGGTTGGTTTGGTTTGTTTGCACTGTATTATGTTTTAGTATTGCACTGCGTTTATGTTTGTATTGTTAGTGTTAATAAATTATATTGTTTATCACATATCTGAAGTCTGCGTTTCCCTGCGTCAGTCACACACCTCTGGTCATACCCAGGAGCCCTGACAGATTCCTTTTAAGACGGCCTCATCCCCTATTTGGAGTGCCAATCATCCGAAGAGAGGAAGAGGAATCAGAATCAGATAACATATTATTAGTTTGTGAAACACCTTGTGTATTGTGTAAAATACTGGGATATCCTCTCTTCTGCTGGTAAGTGTGTTGAGGAATTGTCCACCTATATGTTTTTCCTTCCAAGAACGCTGTTTTATCTCACCAAAATGTATTTTCTTTTTTATATACAATATATATTTGTTCAAATCGGCCAAACCCTCCCTAAATTTTGTTCTCCAATTCAGGGTATAATGAGTTTGTTTTAAATGCAGATAACAATTTCTCTGCATTTTCAATATCCTTTTCTAAGGACAACATCTGTTTGTTATATTCCGTAGTCAATATGGACATCATTTTCTGTGCACATGATTGTAAATTCTCGTCCTATTCCCTTTTGAATTTGTCACTTATTTTTTCAAGGTTAGGAAAAATTGGAATCCTCTATCCTAATGGTTTGATGTTCTCTCTACTATATTTTTCAAATGATTTAATGTGCCAAAAAATTGCTGATTTCTTTTTCAGAAGTTTCCCCAACCTCAAAAACAATGAAAAAATCTCAGTTTCAGTTTGTTCTTTCTGAGAAAAGTCAGTCTGATAAGTGGACATTAAATTTACCCCTTCCTGGCCCTGGAATTCACTCATGTTGAAGTTTAATTCTTTCCTGGAAGACACAACACTTCAAAATAGGGAATGCACACTGTACAAAGACAATAAATTATGAATTGACATTATGACATTGAAAGATACTCTATTGGGGGAATTTAGGGGTGGATAACACCCAATCAGAATCATAGCAGAAAATTGAGTATATAGCTGTTCAATGGTAAATGCCAATGAAGCTCTATGGTGCCGGGCAGTGAGCAACCTCCCTTAGGCCACCCTCATGCAGTCCATTTCTGATTTTTTTGGTCAAAGACATTCACAACAGTGGCATGCTCTAGATCATATTATAGAGCTCTGAAAGTGCTCATCCTGTTCCTCCTTGCACAAAGGAGCAGATATTGGTCCTGCTGATGGTTAAGGACATTCTACGGCACTGTCCAGCTCTCCTAGAGTAACCGCCCGTCTCTTGGAATCTCCTCCATGCTCTTGAGACTGGGAGACTCAGCAAACCTTCTGGCAATGTCACATATTGATGTGCCATCCTGGAGGAGTTGGATTGTCAGAGCAACCTCTGTAGGGTCTAGGTATCACCTCATGCTACCAGTAGTAACACTGACCCTAGCCAAATGCAAAACTAGTGAAAAACAGTCAGAAAAGACGAGTAGGGAAAAAAAATGTCAGTGGCCTCCACCTGTAAAACCATTACTGTTTCTCATTGTTGCCCATCTAGTGCACCTGTTGTTAATTTCATTAACACCAAAGCAGCTGAAACTGATTAACAACCCCCTCTGCTACTTAACTGACCAGACCAATATCCCAGGAGTTTAATTGACTTGATGCTATACTCTGATTAAAAAGTGTTCCTTTAATTACATTCATATACTTTAAAAGTATTCAACATGGTATTTACACTCTATTATTGCACACATTACTCATTCTGTAAAAAAAAATCCCTATGAACTCAGACCCCACACCCTAATGGACACTCCAATTGCTCATCCTTTGCATCACCCCATGCATTTGTTATTTGCATGAAACAGTAACATCTCATAATGTTGCTATTTCAGCATCAGGTTCAAATGGCCAAACAGCCCAAAGTCAGGGCATGCAACAGATGTGACAGCAAGCTAAACAGTATTTCAGAATTCCCCAAAACTCACTATAGCCATGGTTTCCCCTTAACCAAACCTTAACCAAATAATTGCAAAACTAGTTATGGGATCCAATGAATAAAATTGTTTGCTTTTGTCCTTTAGTTTTTAATGGTCAAGCAAATTCAAAGAAGAAAAAAACTGACTGTAGACTTTATATAGAAGTTTAAGTTTAGGAAAAGTTGTCTAACAAAAAAATAAAATCTGTGTTACTAATTTAAAAACAACCAGTTTTAAGCTGTTATTTCTACAGTCTATAGTTTCAAAAAAGAAAACAAGATTACCATTCTGAGATGAGGGAAAGGAAGATACAGAACTCTAACCCCATACATAGCACAACGGTTGTAGTCCTGACAAGTTCACTGTGTTTTTCATTCTATATGACAGAGAAATGTATGACAGTTCATAGCCATATACAGAGTGTGAGCAGCACATACTCAACAGTACTTTCTTTCTGCTGATCTGAGCAGTCATTGTAATTCTGTACCCAAGGCATTCGAACTCTGACCTTGAGCCATGTTTACTAGAACAAGATTTCCCCATTTTTACTCGGAATTAACCTTTGTATGGTTACTTCCGCACAGCATGTTGTATCATGCAATGAGGCTCAAGAGTCACCACAAGTCTTTCAATTAATAAAAGCTTGGTTTAATTTCAATTAATAAAAGCATGGTTAGAAGATACTGTCCAAGGTGTGCTAAAAACACTTTATTGTTTTTTTTTTGTGGCATTTAATTTTCAATAGATTATTTTTTGCATCTATTCAAGTACCTAAAACTAAAATGCTGATATGATTTTGTATTCTTGCTGTGTGCTCTTTAGATTGACTACAAAGCTGCTAAGCTTCTTTCTGTGGCTGCTTGATTTGAAAGCTAAGTCACTGATTAGTTCTATTTACTATTATACCTGCCTGGTAGTTCAAGGGCACAAAACTCATACAGGAAGCAAGACAACCCCTGAGAGCATTTCTGACCAGTACATCATGGTTAAATATCATTAAAAGGCATCTAGTTGTACTTTATACATAATAATAAAGTAGAAAGAAATATAAGTGTTAAACATTTAATCAAGTAATACATAAGCAAATGATACCTGTGGTTCTCATCATGCAAGAGATACTCCAACTTGGTGAAATAAAGTTTGAAAGCGTATTGAATTTTAAATAATAAATATAACACATTATTGCTATTTACTTGTTTCAGAAGTACAGGAGATTGTTTGAAATACATTGCTTTTTTTTTTAGAGGGTATGGACAATAAATGTACCCATTTGAAGGCATACTTGAGATAAACTAACACACATGGGGATACTTGATAAATATTTGTTAACATTTAATTAATGTTTGTTTTAAAAGAATAATTTGAATCATATTACATTTTTACATGGTTACTATTTCCCAGCTTGGGTCAATGTAACTATTTATATACCATACCTGGCTGATTCCCCTGGAAGCTTGAATTCAGACACCACTACTCCATTGATCTCTACTTGCTTCGGGGTTCTCGGCTGAGCTGCCATTCTGATGTATTGTGAGCACAGGAGGTTGGCTGCTCAGCATGGACATCATTCAGAGAATGCTTAGAATTTTCTGAATTAATTCAAACCGTTAATTCAAACCATTCTCTCATTGGACGTGGTGAAGAGTCGGGGCAGTGACAAAACGCTATACACCATGTATGACTTGTGCAACTATTTAAAAATACACCATGCCTAGGATACATTTTGAAAAAGGTTGGGAAAAATCAAATGATACTACTAAATGATTAAATGATTTCAGATTTGCAAGAGCATAGCAAACTTTTCTTAGCAAAATGGGTACAAAAAATCAGAAATGTCTTGTATCTGTTTGAGACACTTCCTGTTCCTATTCCTATGTCCAAATTATATTCCCTTCAGAAGTCCTTCCTCCACTTCTGGCATAATAAATCTCACAGGATTGCCTGTACTGTCCTTCTCTCTCCTCAATCTAGGGGGGGTCTGGGTGCCCCAGACATTTTGTTGTACTACTTAGCTACTCACCTTCATGCTCTTGGTCTCATGGTCCTCCCAGTGCCCCCCTAATAAATGGGCCAACATTGAATGGCTACAACTAATACCAATGCACTCTTGTTCACTCCTGTGGTCTATGACCAACACTGAAACATCCTCTCACAAACATCTCCTGCTTGGACCCATGCAGTTCACGTTATCTATATGGAGGCAGTATAGGGCTAAATTTGCCCTGTCTTCTCTGTGTTCCCCCTTGACCAATGTCATATTTAATCCCTGTCTCCCAGATAGCCTATCCTTGGCTCGTGTGCATTCCGGGTCCGAGGCCAATCTATTTCAGTTGCGACACTTGGTCCATCCAGTGACTCATAAACTTAAATCCTTCTCTGAGATTTAAGAAGCCAGTCACATGCCACCCCACCAATATTATGTTTATCTACAGATACGTAATTTCTTTTCCTCCAAATCCTCTTCTTCTTGAGAAACCTACCCACTTTAAGCGTATCTGCATCCAAGGCCCATACCAACGGGCATAATTTCTTCTACATATAAGCTGCTTTTAGACGCAGGCCCCCTTTCTATTGATACTCACCTTTTAAATGTGGATACTCACCTTTTAAATGTGTAAATGGCCCCGAATCCTCCAATGTGACATTGCCTTGGATCAATGGAGCAGGATTTGGGAGGTTGGCTCCAGATCTTCTATATGTGTAGTATATAAAGAAAATACTTATCACATTCTGATGTTTTGGTATGGGACTCCTGAGGTTCTCCATGCTCTTAGTCCGAATGTTTCTTCTGTCTGCTGGCAGTGTGGCGAGGAAACTGGCACTCTTTGACACTTTTTTGGGCTTGCCAGTACATTGCACCCTTTTGGAGAGAGGTCCATAACCTACTATGGCTACTTCTGTCTGCAGGCTCCTATTTCATTTGAGCCCATCCACTTTTTATTGCACATACCTTTTTCAGACCTCTCCAAATTTGCAAGGGAACTTTCCTCCCACGTTTTAATGGTGGCCAGGAGAACCATTCCCATGCACTGGCTTTCTACTTTACTTCTTACACTATCGGAATTGACAAAGGTTATAGCAGAGATTAAAAAAATGAGTACCTCACTGCCTTGCATGCTAAATCTGTTCCCACTTTTTAAGCAGTCTGGGAACCATGGGATACTTACAATTCTGACTTGTCTATTCAATTGTCTGAAAATTATTGCTAGCTCACTGTTATGTATTGACATTATATTTCTCCATGTACCTCTCATCAATGAGACTGTTTCTCTGTCCTTTTGCTGCTCTGTGATTGTTATGTTTGTTGTAAATGTTTGAAAATCAATAAAAAGTTATTTATTATTTTTTTTAGTCATTCTAAGGTTCTGTCTTCAACCCTTATGCTGTATAGCTGCAGTAAATTGATGTGTGATACCATTTACTGTTATCTACAGTATTTGTACCATAACCCTGCCTTCTGAAACACTCAAGGACTACAGATATGCAGTCTTTTTCTCTCTTCTTTCTCATTTCCTGTAAATTTTGTATGGTTCCTAACTTCACTATAAATAGGGTCCCTCCATGTATTGTATATGTGGTTTTGCGCACACATGTTTTTTTTGCGTTGATGCACATTGCTTTGTCCATATATTCTTAGTGGGTTTTCAACAAGCTCCGACTCCCTAAAAATATATTTTTTCTAGCACACCCTATTGCGACAACGTTGGTGTTCTAGGCAGGTTCATAGTTTCATATGTTCTGGTACAACACAGAGATCCTGTTAAAATTTTAAAAAGTTTGCACCATTACTTTTTAAACATTAATATTTGTTTACCAATGTGACATTACTATTTTTCACAAATAAGATATTTTCATATAGTTATGACCAGGGGTGGACTGACAACTCATGGGGCCCCTGGGCAATAGGGGTACATGGGGCCCCTGTGTCCTTGCCCACATTGAAAGCACACCCAAAAAAGCCTATAAAAGGTACTGGGGGCATTTCATGGGGCCCCATACTGACCCCGGGCCCTCGAGCAGTGCCCTAGTGCCAGAATGGTCAGTCCTCCCCTGGTTATGACATCACTACTCTGCTAATGAAGGGCAAATCACTATTACATTTTTAAACAATGATAATTCATTGGACATTAGTGATAATTTCTGTATATATCACATGTTTATGTAACTATTTTGACAAACAACCACATCGGCACATTCTGTGATTTTAATGATCTGTTATATTTCTTTCTTACCATTTACAGGGCAAATACATTTCTGTCTGTTTTCAAAGGAGCCAGAAAAGCAGTTCTGGAAGATGATGCCTTTCGTCTTGAAATCTTTGTGTCAGATACTGTAAAAATATAGAGCTGTAAGATTCAGTATCTGATGAGGAATATATGAAACTATAAACGCTTTCAGGGACGAACCTGGGTCTCATTGGAACTGTCAGCTATGATGGGCTTCTCGGAATCTTTGTGTTAGTAGTTCATCCGTTCTCTGTTTGGAAAGGAACTCTCTAAAACAGAAAAGGTGAGAAGTGTAAAATATTACTTTTCTAAGCAAAAATGACAACTTAGTATGGCCAGAAGCTCTTTTATCAAGCTTAAAACACACACTTAAGATGCATATGGCCATATTTCAGTGGCATAGCTGACTTTGCACATTTCAAGACAAATAATTACATTTATCTCCATGTTTCAAAGTATGCAGTAAATTGATGTCATTAAGCAAAATGAAGAATGCCTCTCTATCACTCTGAATATAAAATGTGTTTTTTTATCTGTACTAAACCATCCAAAGCTGCCTAAGGCAGAAAGCACAATGAACTGTTTTGAATTTTAAATGGGAACTCCAGACAAATCATTTTGAATTGGGTCAGAACCTCTATCAGGTTCTTATTGCTAATGAATAAAGTCCACCTTATTCTCTCCGCTGCCTTGGAGGAAGCAGCAGATGACACTGATTTTCAACGGATACCTGTTGCCAGAGCACTAAAATGAAAGAATAAATGGTTTATATATCCATTCCATTATATATCCAGTAAACCTATGTATTGCTGCATATGATGCACATAGTAATAAAAATGAGACAGTGGCCCTAACCCATCCTACTTGCATCTACATCTTCTCTACTGAAGCCTCTGTATCACTGTTGCTGGGCTTCATTCTTTGATGTCACTGAAGACAAGATTAGAAGTCAATTTTTCCTTACTTGCCTAGCATTTTTACTACCTAATGTGGCAAGCTGTAATTCCTAACTTATTGTACCCTAGTAAACCCATGTGTCTGTTTATGCCACAGCAAAAATTGGGGACTGATTTTCTGTATTAGCAGTTTGTTTCTAAAAGAGATTACAGTCACTTTGTTTGAAAGATTTCTTGCCTTTTAACCTCCCTAGCTGTCTGATTATTTCCGATTTTTGGTGCTGAAAGCGGTACCATTATTTTGCATGGAAATATGTAGTTTTTTTATTGTAGGCCTGTAATTTTTAGAAATAACTCACTGAAATCTGTCCGAACAAGAGTCTAATAAACATCCCGGGTATGATAAAATTTGAAACACGAAACCATAAATTATAATTTAATAAATAATCATAAAAAAATAATAATAATAATACATTTAATTCAATAATATAATCAAACCAAAAACACTGAAATTTGAAACATAGCGCCAAGTTTGCACATCACTGAGCAAAGTCGCAAAATTGTTTTCAGTGTCTGATGACGAATTTCTCCACGAATCATTATCACTCAATTCTGCAAGTGGTTCTGATTTACTATCACTGTTCTCTAGCTGATCTAAACCCGCTTTTGACCTAAAGGGATGCTTTTTGGATGCCATGGACTTTTCTAAGTTTCCAGGCAGAAAGAACAGTAAAAATGCAGACAGGGGACAGGACAAAGCACTCGGGACAAAATGTATGTGAAATGGGTTGAAACAGCAATGTTTTACTATGTAAAATTTGTTTTGAAAAAAATGACATTTTTTAAAAATTTTCAAATTTCCTGCCGCCGCCGGTGGCGGCGCCCGTACGTCCCGACGTCACAGGGACCGGAACACAGAAGCCGGATGCCGGCATCGGCCGGAGGAGATGGCCGGGGATGCTGCAGGGGGGACACATCGCGGGAGCGAAGGACAAGGTAAGCTCTGCAGGGACTCCCTATGCAGCGCCGAATGGTAAGCCCGAGTGTAGCTTGGGGTTACCGCTTTTGGCACTGACATTTTACCCCGAGCTACACTCGGGAATACCACCAGGGAGGTTAAAGTAGAACTATAGGCAAAACGTATTTTTTTAAATTCAGCTTACACTAGACCACTGTACAGAAAACCTGAGATCCGTGAGCGTTTCCTGCACCACGTTCAAAATGCATTACCTTTGCAAACTGAAAAGGATGTCAGTGCAATGTTAACATCACTCCAAAGACAGGTCACATTTGCAATGCATTTGCCTGCATCAGATGGCATAGTACAAAACTACCATGCGATCTGATTGTCATACACTTACAAAAGTAGTACATGCACTACTTTGGTGCGATGCAGTATGTTTTGAGCCCATTCAAAATGACTGAATGCAGTGCAGTGCACATTCCTGTGCAAGTCATAGTGTGGACCTAGGCTAAGTGATGGTTATACACCCTTTCAAATTTGTTTACCTTCACTTCTTGTCACATAGCCAAAACAGGAAGTGAGAGGGAATCCCTACAAATTATGAGAATCTCTTGGTTCTCCAAGGTCACCAGAACTAGTGTCCCCATTGAAAGATTTCCCCTTAATATTTCTGGTCTGTGGAGAGCAGGTGGTTCCAAGAGGTGAAGATACTGGAGTTTCTACCTCTGGGCACAAGACACTCTTTAAAGAGCACTTTTGGAACACTGTTTATTGGATATACAGTATAAATATCACACAGAGACTTGTGTTGTTGACTTTTGCACAGAATGTATATTGTTTACAATATTTATGTATTACAGCATATTGCTCAGTGATGGTTTGGATGCAGCTTGTTAATTTTGGTTGTTTTTTTGGTTGCTAGTAATATGCATGTGATTATATTATGGGATCCCACAAAATTGACTACTGTGGTCGTTTAAACGGAATATTTGCAAATGTTTTTTTATTTAAACATAAAATTATTTATTTGGTTGAGGAAGAGTTTAAATTACCTGGGGTAAATCTTTAAAACAACTGTACCAAGACTCAGGCTGTAGGGTGTATTTACATAGTTACATAGTTGGTAAGGTTGAATAAAAGTCACCAGCCCCTCCAGTTCACCCTACACCTATCTAAAAAGTTTTTTTTCCTGACCGTGCTATAGCCAAAAGATGGCTACAGCATGATTGGCTGGTTCTGGACGGGTATCCATGCACGTCCTTCCAGAACCACACCCCAACACCCCAAGCATTAGCTGTGATTGCTGTGTCCTTTGGACACAGCTGATCACATGTTCTGGTAAAGGGCCAATCAGAGCTGTCTTTTACCATGTGATCAACTGTGCCCAATCACAGCTGATCACAGTGCAAATAGGAACGGCCCGGTTATCATCAGGCATCTCCTAATGCTGACAGAGCATGAGGAGAGCCGATAAGCAGCATTTCTCAGAAGGGACATCTACACTAATCATTAGTGTAGCCCCATCAGTGCCCATCAGTGCAGCTAATAGTGCCAAAAATATATAATCCAATGGCATATATCAAGCAATCATGTTACCTAAGTTATGTGTATTTGTGAAAACACCCTAAACCTTGTAGGAGTATTTACATATATCCAGCTAGATCTGAGAGTTCCTACACAAAAGAGTTAGTTTCACCTACAATATACATTTATTAATAGAGCTACATAATATATACAAATTACACCCTAAGCAGTATT